CTGACAACTAAGAACACAATAAAACTCAAAGACGTTTTTCAGAAAGTTTGTATTTTTCCATTTAACGAAAACCCCGAAAAACTTAAAACTAAGTTTTTAAGAGAGAAAACAGTTCAGTTTTTTGATAGATTTATTTTTGTTCTACAAGGAACAAGGTGACTCAGTTTTTAATAAAAAGGTAAAAGCTAGCCAGTTTGAAAAAGAAAACAAACTTTCACTTGACAGAAATGAAACGGTGTAATTTGTAGATCTTCAAGTCCTCGTAGACAAAAAAACTAGTACGGCAAGAATGTACCAAGCATTTGTTGTTAACCTTTTAGTGGCATTTTCACTTGTCAGCAGATCAATTGATTTAAGCTCTAGAATACATCTGTCTTAGGAAAGAGAAAAGAAAACTAAATTTTATCTTTTCTAACTGTTTTTAGTTTTTTGTTTGCATTTATTTTGAGCTACAAAACAAAACGGTTTTATACAAGACATGATGCAGCAAATTATCTAATACATACAATTCATTGCATTGGTGGGGTAAACGACAATAACAGAAGTTGTATGGCAATTTAGACAAAATTGACACATTTTTATATGATAAAAATTTTTAATGACAATACCATTTCCTGAACTTAGCAGTAATATTTCTTTTTTTTTAAATATACTTTTGGAAGCCTGAGTTTTTGGTTACAAATGTAACTTTAATAAAAGTCGCTATCCAGTTTTCTAAGTTTCAAAACAATTTGGAAACATAGACAGACGAGTAAATTAGTGTGTTTAAGATAGAGCAAAAAGGGTTTTCTTGATTTGTGAACAAATTACTTTAAAGTTTGGATATTTCTATAAAATTAATGAAGAAAGGAAAAAGTCAATAAACGTTGTGATGTCTTACCGCTGTGAGCGCAGAAACTTGCGCTAATTTTAATTATTATCAACTTATTAGCTGTTCTTGATTTCCAACATGTTTTTACAAAATTTTGTAAAAACAAAAATGTAAATTTTCTAGCAGTTAGCTAAGTTTGGTAGAGAAAATTTTGCCAGCATGAGAAAATTTTTTCGGAATATTGAAGAAATTCCAAGCAAAAAATACCTTTCAGGAAAAGTTTTTGTAATAGCTACATTTTCCATGTTAAGGAAGTTTTTGAACCAATATACAGTAAACTGTATGATGCGCTACTTGTTCTTTCCGTTCAGGAAACATCTACAAAAAGAGCATTCTTCGTAAATAACCAAGTTGGTGGATTTCACACCCAATACGAAAACGTGGAATTCGTCACTGTCAGGGTAAAAATTTTTCTTAAAGTTAAGGGGAGATAAATGTTTGCAAGTCTTTACCTCATTTAACTTTCTGGTTTTAGGGAGCGGGCCATATGGTTCCAACTGATAAGCCACCAGTGTCCTACCATATACTGGAGGCATTTTTGAACAAGAAGAAGCCTTAATAAATTTCTTTTTTATTTCTGCAACTCGAATAAAGTAGTATGCTGAAACTTGTTTGAAGCACATGTTGAATCTGCTTCACAGAATCTACCAAAGATCAGATACTTTTATCCTCTAATCAGGCAAGCAGAAAACTACAAAAATAAAATATGGAGTGTACGTTGTTGCTGTAGTCCTACAGTCAAGGTTAAACCCCTGCTCTGTTTCAATGGTGGAGCTTTTATTAATCGTCCTATTTTCTCCTTGTTTCTCCTGCGACCCTTATTATCTTTTCGCTCTACTCTGTGTTTTAAAATGTCGCTTGCTAAAAGAAGAAGGAACACAAACATCAATTGAATTGCCAGCTTCTTTCTCATTACTTTGAGTCGTTTCCTGAATTCATGTCAGAAGTTAACTGGTTTAAGTATATACTTCGTTTTTTTTGTTTTCTTTCCCCACTGTTTGTCACTTCTTATGTTGTTATACGTTTTGAGAAAGAGAGTGCATAAGGTTGTTGTCTTGCCTCTCCTCCCCTGCTGAGCTCTACAGGTGCTGCAAGTTTTTTTTCGACTTAAGTTAGTCTTGTATAGTGTAGTTTGGTCATTCTGAGTTCCCCAGTTTGTTTTTAAGAACGATGTATCTTGTCAGTAGATAATTGAAAAGTCTTTTTTTAGAAATTTCTTTTTTAAATGAACTCACTTACTTCAATCAAACCGAATTTATCAGCATTTCTCTTCCTAAACTTGAAATTCAGTACAATAAAATCAAAATAAAATTCAAATGATTGCCAGGTTTGTCCTAAGGCTTATGTAGTTTCAAATGCGATTTTAAAAAAATTAATAGTACCTCCAACTTCATAAACAAAGGCACATCATTTTGGAGACCATTTCATGCTGAAAAAATTCGCCGGTTCTGTACAGGGGTGATTGCTTTATAGTTGTTGTCTAACAAAGGAAAAAATTAGGGATAAAATTTTTTCTCTGTTTACGTTTATTAAGTTGACGTTATCAAGAAACATTATTTCGAATTATTATGAACTTCTGGTTCTTTAATCAGTATTCTGCAAGCATTTTCTTCGCTTATAGTTTTTGCTTGATTTTTTTGTTTTTTATGAAGGTGTTTATTTCTAGCTCCTACGTTTTAAAAAAAAGAACTTTGTATTTGTTATTGCCTCTCTCCTCCTCTGTTTTTCTCTACCCGCAAAGGGTGCACATCTGTGGGGATGCAAAGATGAAAGACAGCAGAATGAACTGTACCCGAAGAAGAGAAAAGGATAACAGGCATTGAAGTTATTTTTGCTGGTTGCGACAGTTTGAGGTGTTATTCTGTCGCCATCCAAAAACTGTTTTACTACGTTATATGAAGAACAAAAAAATTTTTTGATTTAAAACTTTGAACCAGTACAGTAAGTATTAATTAAACTGAGCGCTTATATAGGTAAGTAGATTAGGTTTGATAACGGTTGACAGTAGTATAGCAATAACATTACAATTCAAACTTTATACAGTAACAAAATGAAACAAAAATCAATATTTAATATAACAATACATAACTAATAAATAGTGAGCGACAAAGTAATATGTGGAGCAAAGTAGCTTTAAGAAGCTTTCGAACTCTACAGCTAAATTAACGTTATTGAGGGTTTTAACAAGTTATACTAGACAC